CTCCACTGCTCTCTGAAGATGAGTTGTGAGCCTGTGGCTTTTCTGGACTGATATTCTGTTTGCCACACCCATTTAGGTGACAGCATCATACCTACAGCTCAGTGGGTGTCTTCTCTCTGCCAGGGCCTGGCAGCTTTCCCAGGCTAGACCACTGCCCTGCAACTCTGCCCTGGAGGTTTGTTCCAATAGCTTCACTGGTCACAGTCCACCCTGAAGCTCTCTCCTGGACCTCCGCCCTGGAAGAAACAGGCATGGGCATCCTGGACTGCTTGAACTGGGAAGATGCCTGTATCTATTGACACTCCCATCCCCAGCTCCCTGTGGTTGTAGCAGTCTGAGCCTATAATGGGGGTCACAGACCTAGCGGCCACTGAATCATCTTCATATCACTTTCCTATTGTTCTGAAAAATAGCACCTGGCTTTTGTCTGGACGGCTGAGCCCTACTATATCCATCTATCAGTCATTTGGCCACACCATTCATGGTGTCCTTTTTGTCGTTTTGTTTGCTTCTTTGTTGCAGCATCAATGCACTAAGAATTTTCTCAGTCCTTATTGAGATTCTAGTTCCTTTTGACTAGCAATTTTGTCTTTACCCGATTCCTCTCCCTTTGTGTCACTCCTAAAACAGTTAGGAAGACTCAAGCTACTCCTTCAATACAGGGCTTAGAAACTTCCTTGGCTAAATATGTATCGTATCTAAATGATATCTATTTACTAACTAATAGTAATAGTTTTTAACTTTAAATATATTATTCTATAATAATTTAATAATACATAATAAAAATATTATGTAATATAAATATATTACAATATTTAAATATGTTTAAATATAAATAATAATCTTAATAGTAACTAAATAGTATCATCATTTCCAAATTCTGTCTTCCACAAAACCCCAGCACACAAACAGAATTCTGCCAGTCTCTGCCACTTTGTAACAAGAACAATTCTTCCTTCAACTTCCTCCTGTTTGTCTGAGACTTGTCAGCGTGGCTTTTACCATTCACTAACATTCCACAACAAATTAGTTAAGTATTGGTTAAGAAGATTAGGGGTTTCTCTTCAACCTTCTACTTGTTTTTGAGCGCGCGCGCGCAAACACACACCACACGTACACACATATTCAAAAATCATCTTTATGGGTCTATTGTCAGCAAATGTTTTAATCTTCCTCCTGCCTGTCATTGCCACCCTTTTCCATTTTTAAGTATGTGTGTTATGGATGACATCCCCTCTCGGTATCAACTTTTGTCTCAGTCCATTAGAGTGGCTGAAAAAAATTACCATGAATGGTATGGCTTATAAATACCATACATTTACTTCTCAAGAGATTGGGGGTGTCTCAGAGCAAAGCACCTGTAGGTTCATTATATGATTGAGGACCCTCTCGTTGGTTCATTGATAGCCAGCTTCTTGCTGTATCCTTCTATGGTGGAAGGGCAAGGGGGCTCTTTGGGTCTCTTATAGGAACACCAATTCCACAAGTGTGTGAGCGAATCACCCCCAAGGGCCCCATGCCATGATATGCCACATTGGTGGTTAGAATTTCATCTCAAAAGTTTAAGGAAGGAGGCAAACACAATTCGGGTCTTTTGAAGATAGCTTACATCTTTCCTCAAGCCTTAGTTTAGACATCAGATGAGGGCCACAAAGTAGAAGGCAAAGCAGTGTAGGGAACAAGAAGGAGTGGACATTGGAGACAGACATGCCTGGAGTCCAAGTCCGAATTGTTGCTTGCATCCCTTCCATCTTTTGAACGTGGACCATTGATCTACTCCTTAGCTTATACTGGAATTCAATTAGACACTAAGATCAGAGTAAGGAAGCTTTCTGCCCTTCCCTCACGTCTTGTAGGTGTTGCAGGAAGGAGCATGCTCTCAGGCAGCTGTGTGGGCTGGTTTATGAAACAAGCTAGAGTTATTTTGGGAGAGAGAAACCTTAATTGAGAAAACACCCGCAGCGGGAAAAGTCTATCAGAAAACATGTGAGACCACTACCATCCCCCCACACACACAATTCCTTCCTTACGACTCTGTTTCCATGTGAATTCAGATTGTGCCGAGTTGAAATTAAAACCATCACACCTGGGGAAGGGCATCAAGAGATTTCATTACTAACAATTATTGTATAAGTGGTAGCAATGTGTTGAGATCTGTGCTTGAACCTTAAAACAGGTGAGGTTGGTGATACCCAAGAGATGAAGGGAAGAGGTGAAAGGGGGAGTTGTAGGCAAGAGGCTTTCAGCCGAGCAGAATCCCAACTGAGGCAGGAGAGCAAATGCAGAGGAAATGGATTAGGAATGGCAGGCAACTGAGAAGACTCAGGAAACTGGATTGAACAGTATCACCTTAAGATCTGTGTTCTTCCTAGAACCCCAAGACTCTGATATTTGGAGAGAGGGTGATCACTGTAATTAATTCAATTGAAATCATACTGGAGTAGGGTGGACCCCTTGTCTATAAAACTGGTGTTTCTGAAAGAAAAGAAACAGATGCAGACACACACATGAAGAGGAAATGCTGTAGATTTCGAAACACAGGAAGGAAGTCCTGTGACCATACAGGCAGAGACTCAGCAGTATGTCAGCAAGCCAGGGATTAAAGCACCAGAAGTCAAGGGAGAGACATGGAAAGATTTTCTTCTAAAGCCCCCAGAGAAAGCATGTTTCTGCTAACACCCTGGGTTTAGATTTCCAGAGTCTGGAACTGTGAGGTCCAAAACTTCTGCTCTTCAAGCTACTCATTCATTATGTGAAGACTTTATTGTGTCTACCACAGACTACCTCAGGGTATATTGTCTCTCCAGACCCTCTCATTTCTGCTAAAGGGTGACCCTGTGACTTTGGGAACATCTCTGACTTCTACGAATGTTCCTTCTCTGATTCTATTCCTACAGAGGCACTCCAAGATTTCTCACACACCCTCATATTTCCCTTTTCCCAATCCTGCTACCACCAAGGAATCTGGTGGGGTGAACACCAGCTCATGGCCTGTCATGAGAAAGTGGTGGCAGTGGTGGTAACTGTCCTTCCATGAGACAGCTGTTAAAAAAGACTGAGTCACTCTCCACACCAAGTCTCTGGGCACAGACCTTGATGAGGGTAGAGATGCCACCTGCTCATCTGCAGAACCTTCCATCATTGTCTGGTAAAGAGCAGATGTCTCTGTCCCAGGTCAGAGCATGGTGCTAGGGAAAGGATATTCCTGCAATTCTCGGGACTTAAATTTGCTCAGGGTTTCAACTTTGAGCCCTGTCTCCACAAACAGTACTTTCAATCCCTTGGGAAGTTACTGAGTTTGGTTAATTTTGTGGCTTGTTTCTGAGAGAATCCAGAATTGGTTGTCATATGTCTTACTATAAAAACCCATCTTGATATTTTGTAAGATCTCACTTACGGAAGAATTTCCCATTGCCTGCCCTAATAGGGTTAGCCTTCTACCATGACCTATGAGCTATGCCTGGAAATGCAAAGCCATACTGCAAAAGCCTCCTTGATCTCCACGTATACAATGTATTGATCACTGCCCTAGAAATAGAAGACATTGCTGTCTATCACACGAGTCAGTGAGGGATAGCTGGGTTTGCATCTAGACCACATGTGCAGTACCGTAGCCTCTAACCACAGATGACCACTTACATCTTATATTTCACTTCAGGTCATCGGCCATACTAGTGCCTTGCTGGCATGTGCAGATGGTGGCTCCAAGCCTGCAAAGCATGAATGTAAAATGGCTCCGCCAGTCCAGGGAGTTCTCCTGCTCGGGCTCCTCAGAATCAGCTGCTTTTGAAGCACTTCAATGTGCCTGTTCTCTTCTAAGAGAAATATAGATAGCATGTCGACTCTATAAGAAGGAAAGACCCATGATCTTTTATACTGACTGTTAGGGGTTGTGCCTATCTGTCTCTAAAAGGAAAACTTCTGTCTACACCACTGGTTCCCAAGCGTTGCTGTGACTAAGTCTCTGGGGACCCTTGTGAAACTGGAGCTTCTGGTTCAGTAACTCTGGCTGTGACCTGTGATCCTGCTTGGTCTTTAGACCACATCTTGAGTGGGGGTGGGGAGGGGAGGAGAGGTTCCAGCATGGGACTGGTGAAGCAGGAGCCATTGTTTCAAGAAGGGCCAGCCAATAGACTCCGTGTGGGAAGACAGATCTGAAGGATTTCAGTTAATATGACCAATCCCCCTTCTTCCGTGTGGATGTGAGATTGTAGAGCAGGGATGGGCTCAGAGCTCAGGGCTGTGCTTGGAGCCACATGACCAGATTGGATTCCTGACCCCATTGCCTTCTAGCTGTAAGTCCCAAGGCAACTGATCCCTAGCTCTCAGTTTCCCTATCTGGAAAATGGAAACAACCCTTGCAGTGTGTCTGGAAGGACGAGGCCGGTTAGCAGATAGATGTAAGGTGATTAGAACAGTGTCTACACTGCAAACACCGCCCAGTGACTAAAGCAATCTGGTTTGTTCTGGTGAGAGCCATGCATTTATAACCTCTGTATCACTGAACTAATCAGAGGCTGATCTCTCTTTTCTATATTGAAGAAGGAGCAAAAGATAAGGAGCCAGTGTCTTAGACGAAGGGCTGGATTCCTGAGATATCCTGGGGAGTAGAGAAAGAGCCAAAAGGATAAGAGTGGAAAGTTGGATCTGTAACTGATGGCCCAAGGAGGCCCATCAGTCAGCGGTGGGGAGTCAGTCAGAGGTGGTGGGGATCGCCTCCTGTAGACAGCGGTCCCTTGCTGAGCACTTCGGTGACCCTCACCAAACATAGCCTGTCCACCTGCCCCTTCTCAGAAACTGTGACTACTGACGTGTAACAGCGCACACGTGGAATTCCTGTGGGGTTTGTGTTCTCTGTCACTTAAACACCTGAGGTGATTTTCCCTGATGTTCAGTAGCCAACAAACTTGAGTCGTTGGAGAGCACAGGACAGAGGTTTGGTTTTGCTTGTTTGTTTTAAATACTAATCATTTTTCAAACCTTCTCCTCCAACCCCAAAGCAAAGAGCCCAGCCAGCAGCGAGTGAAACGTTGGGGCTTCTCTTTTGACGAGATTCTGAAGGACCAGGTGGGGCGGGACCAGTTCCTCAGATTCCTGGAGTCAGAATTCAGTTCGGAAAATCTCCGGTAAGTAAACATTTGAATTGTATTCTCTCCCTCTCCCCCTCCCCCTCTCTCTCCCTCTCCACTAACCTCTCCCTTTACCCCTCCCCCTCCCTTCCCCGCCCCCTTCTGCTCCCTCTTCCTGTGTGTGTGTGTGTGTGAG